ACACAGGGGAGGTCTGGTTGTTCGGTAGTTTCATTCGAATAAACTAAGGGAACGAAACTACCGAACAATCACAAGAATACAAGGCTTTAGAACACATAGGAAACTAACAGATCACACGAATGCATTTCTTTCACAGACATTTGCAGGACAGCCCAGTGCCATCTGCTACAGGTTGGTTACCAATCTTCTTATAGAACACTTTCAAGTGGTGTTACTGTTTCTTCATATGTTCCCATCTGCTGGACAGGTTAGTTCAATATAATTGTATTTTCTCAATAAAACGAATTGTTTCATATTACTATTCTTCCTGTTCCTGATTGCTTACCTGATTTGCATTACAGGGAACATGCTCCTGTTACTTATCATCATGGTCTGTTCACATCTGCATACTCCTATGTACTTATTACTGGCCAATTTGTCCTTCGTGGACAACAGCTTTAATTCCAACTTACCAATTTGTCCTTTAGAAAAAACTAAAGATGTTGCTGGTAATTATTTTTTTTACAATTCCATTTAAAACATTTATATGAAAATGTTAAGTTAGTAATATAATATCAGTTTATTTAACCAGAAGACTAGGTTCCGCATGCTTGTATGTAAGTATACCCTGGGCATATTGACCCTACTTTTACCCAATTTAACAACTCTCATTTTATTGATCTCAAGAAAGTGAAAGGTTGAGTTGGCCTTGCTGGGAAACCAACAGGTAGTTACAAGTCGTACTTGAGAATGTGTGACTAAGCATTAAACTTCCAGAATGAGATACATTGACTATGACCAGTTTCATGCTCAAGAGTAGATATTCAGGGAGTTACAACTGCAAATAAAACTGGAATACAGTTTCAAATGTAATAAAAATAAGAATGGCAATAAAATCCCAAATTAGAAAAAAATATAAAAAAACAGGTATTTATTTTAGTATTAGTTTATGCACTATTTTTTTGCTTTGCAGAGTATATATTTTCCACATTATTCAATGCCAAACTGTTTTATTGAAGAATAAGTTAAACACCTCACCTGTGATGTTAATTGAACACATTAAATTTGACTTTCTTACAGTGAAGGGGTTAATCTATATAGAAATTCTATGTATCTTTATAAATCTATCTAGCAACCAAAACAAAAAATACAATTTGGATCAGCATTGCTGAAATCCATTTACTCAATACTTTCCTTTAGTGTGCTCACCCTAAAATATGATCCTCCCTTACTATGCGGTCAGCAATGTATTAAATGTGCTTTGGACTAGACTTTTCATTTTCCTTAAAAAATAAAAATATATAATATAAATCCATAAGGCAGCATTATCAAAGTGGAACTTTTCTTACTCACGGCTTGTATCCAGGAACTGCACAAAGGTTTTTAATAGACTATTCAATGCACAGAAGAAAAGCATGTGACAAAACACAGATTTTTCGATTCAGAGTTTAGGATGAATGAACAAGTGGTATTTTATAAAGTTAGTATTCCAAGCCTCTAATAGTTCATAATATTCATTTAACAATAAATATGTTTGTCTTGTGAACAGTTCCATTTACAACAAAAATGTGAATCTACTCAGAAAAAATCTTATTTAGCCATTATTATTAAATAGTATAAGTAAAATGCAAAAAAATTAAAGTTCCCCTCCCTATCCCTTCCCATAATTTTCTTTTTCTATTTTCTTTTTATTTCAATTTTTTTTTGTTTTCTTTTATTGTTACCCTCCCCCCCCTTTTAATGTGTAATGTTTGTTGTTATTTTTATATTTTGAAAACTTTCCCAATATAAACCATTTGAAAAGAAATGTTATTTTTAACAATGTGTTTTTCTGCTTTAAAAATATGAATGTCAATTTACTAATAGAGTTGTGGTGAGAAAATTTTCAAAAATGTAAATAAAAATTTAATTGAAAGTGGTCATAACAGAAAGATTGATAGATAGATAGATTCTTATATTTTATTATACTTTATTAAGAATTTTAATTCTAACAACCCACTGTTATCACATTCAATATCTTCTTTTCATTTTAAAAAATAATTTAATGACATTTATTTTAAATTTATGATGTTCATCTAGAGCAGGGGTTCTCAACGTTAGTCCTCAGGACCCCCTACCAGTCCAGGATTTGGGGATTACCTGGGTGTGTCTAAGGTGTTTAGAAAAAGAAAAGAAAAACACCTTAGAGTCTAAGGTGTTTTTTTCCCTTTTTCTAAACACCTGAGACACACCCAGGTAATCTCCAAATCCTGGACTGGTAGGGGGTCCTGAGGACTGGGTTGAGAACCCCTGATCTAGAGCCATAGAGTAAGTAATTTCATACATAGTTCATAATTTAGATTTTTAATTTATTACTTTATCATGTAAATATCATCTATATTTTAAGGAGATAAAATATTTGAAAGTTTATATGGTATCCCTTGTTTTCTTTTTTTTAAATAAAAATTTCATATTTTACCCAGGGAATAAATGTAAAAAACAAGAATAAGTGCTCTCCATCTGTAAATGAGCTGCAATTCACCAACAAGGTGTTCCCCTAACCTTGTGAAAAAACAAAACAGGTATATGAAATAGAAAGGTGAATAGCGCTAACCATATATAAAAAATATATATTACATACGTGGTAGAAGATACTTGTCAATGATATAGCTTCAAAAAGAACAAAATAAAATAATAGTGCAATATATAATAACAGCGGAGTAAATATAGAAGGATATATTTACAATAGGTGTGGAATATATGGCACTAATTAGTAGATGTGAATAGTTGATTTTAGCTGCTGTATCCACTCTATGGGTACTCCTCAAAACCCACTATACAAAAAATCACCACGATACAAAAAAGACTTCAGGCTTAATGGGTGTTGCCACCCCTTAGGTCTTCTGTCTTTAAGAGTGCAGCGCTGAGTATTGTGTGAAAGCACAGTGAGTTACCTGTGATTTAAAGACAATTATCCTTTATATTCTCCAATGTAATGTACATACAAAAGAAAACAGAAATATATACAAATAATTGTGCAGTATGTTAGGTGCTGTAGTAAAGATTTGAGTGAGTAACATATATATCTACACTCACATTTTTTAGAGCCTTTTCAAGTAAATTAGGCTCTAAACTTCTGTGTGTCTGTGTCTTTAAGGGTAGATCACACGACCCCTCTCTCCACGGTAGAGTATGTATTTTCCTCTCCACAGCGTTTATAGAAGACACAGAATTATCGAACTAAGTGTAGCATCTTTTTGTAAGATTTCTTATATATTTAAATAATAAAAGTGCTCACCTTGTTTAGAGCCTTTTGATAACTGGCTCTAAGTGTATAAGCCTAGTGTCAATTTGTGGGGTGACACTACCCCTTCCCTGGAATCACTGGTGCTGGATGCAGTGGATTGTATAAAATAAGGGAATTTATTTCAGAATATATAAAATCAATAAAAGAATATTACTAGAAAATAAAAAATGAAATAAGAACAAAATATTGCAAGTATTGGTGGTCTAAGAAAAAATAGTGAGTCCACTTTAAGAGCCAAAACGCGTTTCGCCGGTAAAAACAGCTTCCTCAGTCAGCTTGTGGGTTTCCTCTGGATGTCCTCTGTTTTGAGCGTTCAAAATCCCGCCGAAAATGTCGTCCTCCAATCATGTGGGTCCTTGTGTCACGTGACGCGGCTGAAAAGCCATCGCGTCACTTCCGGGTTTTCGGCACTACAGAGTCCATAGTGCTTTGCGCTCAGTGCGGCACTTCCGGTTTTCGTCCGGTCTGTCACGGGGAGTTTAGTCCGCAATGGGAGGTTTAATCAGTCCACATTAGAGCCTCCTTAGGCTCATATACAGTTTAAGATAAAAATAAAAAGACACACATAATTAAAAGTTATTGTATGCTGTTCTTTTTACACATTGTATATAAACAAGCAAATGTATTTAAACTTATTAATTTCTTTATATACAGTTAACAGTATCCCTTATGTGCAAAACATGCAGATCTTGAACACAATAAACAAGAAGGGAAAGTGACTTGTGTTTAGAAGGTGCATTGTGGTGAAACTCTATTTATATAAACATATTTTACCACTGATTTCAACTGCTATTTTTTCTCATTGCCAAAAATATATAAAAATTACATGAAATGAGTACACTTGCTTTTATATTGTTTAAAGCAGTAATAGCTCATATATAAGAACATGCAAGATAGCAGACCCAGTAAAAAGCAATGTTTGTGGTTTATATATTTTATCAAAAGTGACATAACTCAAAATCAGCATTTAAACCCATAGGTGCTAGAGTGTTGAGATTGAAAATCCATTTTGTTTCGATTTTTCCCAATTTTTTAATTTCATCTTCCCCTCTCCAGTTAAGTGTAATTTTCTGGATGGCCATGAATTCTAGAAATTGGGAGTCTTTATTATGCATTAAACTAAAGTGTTCTGAAACACTGTGTTTGTCGTATCCTTTTCTGATATTTCTGATGTGTTCATTTATTCGTGTTTGTAAGGGACGTTTTGTTCTACCTACATAAAATAAGTTGCAAGGACACTTTAAAATATATATAATCCTCTTGGAAAAACACGTAATCATTTGACGTATTTTATATTTCTTTTTCCCTTTTGGGTCATAGAATTCTGTAATGTGCCTTTTTATACTTTTTGTGTTTCTGCAGGCTAGACACTGTCCACAGCCAAAAAAAACTTATTTCTGCAAGAAGGGGGTAGATGTATTTTCCTTTATATGGTTGTGTATTAGTTTTTGTTTTAGATTGGGGGCTCCTCTATATATTAATTTCGGTCTCTCTGGTAATATGGAATGTAGCATAGGGTCATTCCTTAGCATAGGCCAGTGTTTATTTATTATTTGTTTGATTTTATGGCTTTCTTGGTTGAAATTACTGATGAATGGTAAGTTTATGTTTTCATTTTGATTTTTAGGTTTGTATTTCAATAATGAGGATCTTTCCATGATCTTAACTTCCTCAATGGTATTAATAAGAGAGGTTTCTTCGTACCTTTTTTCCATGAAATCTTGTTTGATTTTAGTGGCCTGGACCTCAAAAGTGCTTTGGTCAGTGCAGTTTCTACGGACCCTCATAAACTGTGCTTTAGGTATATTTTTTAGCCAAGGGGAAAAATGACAACTGTTTAAGTAGATGTAATTATTTACATCTACCGGTTTAAAAAAGGTTTTAGTTTTAATACTATTATCTTCTATAAAAATAGTTAAATCTAAAAAATTTACACTGTCTTTACTGTATTCTGTAGTTAATGTCACTCCCCAATTATTTGTATTTAAAAAGTTCAAAAATGTTTTTAAAAGATCCACTGAACCATTCCAAATTAAAAAAATATCGTCTATGTATTGCTTGTAGGAGACAAGGTTCGCTCTCCACTCTAGATTGTTGTCTATAAATTGTGTTTCCCAATAGGCCATGAATAAATTAGCATAGCTTGGAGCGAACCTTGTCCCCATAGCTGTGCCGACTTTTTGTAAAAAGAATTCGTTATTAAACCAAAAATAGTTGTTATGAAGGATGAGATCTATTCCTTCCATAATGAAACTTATTTGTTCTTCAGGGTAAGTATTATCCTTTTTTAGAAAGAACTCTACGGCTTCTAACCCTTTCATGTGTGAGATAGCAGCAGCAAGATGAAGTAGGAAGTAGGAACCTTCGGTATTCCAAGCACAAGCCTATCAACATCAAAGCAAAACTCTCAATTCTGGCTATTTTTCAGCTCGAATGCAAAAAAGATTAAGGGCCTCGAGCTGAAAAATACCCAGCTTGAGCTTGGAATACCGAAGGTTCCTACTTCCTACTTCATCTTGCTGCTGCTACCTCTGGGTCCTCTATATCCTTAGGTGGGGATTGTTCCACCTGAAGCTGTTCACACTAGAGCAGGTCCATTGCTCTAGTATATGTAAGTAGGATTATTTTTATCTGCAATATACCTTCATGTACTATTTACACTATTAGTGTTCCTTTTCTTTCCTGTCTTATATACTGTGAAAGTCCATCTCTATAAGCCTACCAGGAAGATCTCATATCAAGAAATCCACAGACGGGAATTATTCCGTCCAGGCCCCTCCAACTGAGCTTATATAGCTCTCTAAAGTGTGAGTTTGGATCATATATTCCTTCTATATTTACTCCGCTGTTATTATATATTGCACTATTATTTTATTTTGTTCTTTTTGAAGCTATATCATTGACAAGTATCTTCTACCACGTATGTAATATATATTTTTTATATATGGTTAGCGCTGTTCACCTTTCTATTTCATATACATATTTTACCCAGGGAATGCAATCTAACTACAGACGTGAAATTGTAATTTTTGTCTAATGCAATTGAATTGATTAAAAAAAGTGAGAAAAAAAATTCAGATTCCTTGTTTGCTACATGAGATATGTTGGGATGCAGCTTATTGGAAATGTCATTAAAATGCAAAGCAAAGTGGAAGGCAACAATGATATACATGCTATTGGGAAGGAATGGGGTTAAAAACTCAAAAAACAAACAAAAGTAATCAAGATTATTCATTAAACTCCAAACTGTAAAAACAAAATAAAGTATAAAAGTAAGGCTAATAAAATCATGACTATATTTGAGCAGGATACATTTTTCATATCAGTTTTGTTTTCTCAAATGTGGCCATTTGGATTTTATTTCTTCACAACTTAGAGAGAGTTTGTTTAAAATTTCTAATAAATCATTTAAAATGTTGCTGGAAACATAATTTGTTGATTTAAATTAATATCTATTTATAATATTAGTATAAGATTTTTAATATATAGTATAATTTGTATTTTTACGATAGAATGGCTCATGGAAATGAAAATGGAACATTCAACGGAGGTTTTATCCTACTAGGGTTCTTTGAATATGGAGATATACAAATCTTACTATTCTTCCTGTTCCTGATTGCTTACCTCCTTTGCATTACTGGGAACATGCTCCTGTTACTTATCATCTTGATCTATTCACATATGCATTCACCAATGTACCTTTTACTGGCCAATTTGTCCTTCGTGGACATCTGCCTCACCTCGCTTATTTTCCCCAGATTTTTATTAACATTTTTTAACCTAAGATCAATCTCCTTGTCTCAATGCATGCTACAAATGTATCTGTTCATTGGGTTTGAAAGTTCAGAATATCTTCTTTTGACTGTCATGTGCTACGATCGCTATGTGGCCATCTGCCACCCCCTTCATTACCACCTAACTTTAAATAAAAGGGTGTGTGCCCTTCTGCTAGTTGTGACCTGGGGCATCGCTATGTTAGATCCTGCAGCTATTATTATTTTACTGTCTACACAGCCTTTCTGCCAGTGTCATGACATTAACCATATATTCTGTGACCTTGTGCCTTTGCTGCAGTGCTCTTGTGGAGACATTTTCAAGATAGAAGTTGCTGTATTTGTTGAAGGGGTTATTTTGAGTATACCCTCTTTTGTACTCACAATATCTTCATATGTGTCCATAATCTCTGTCATTATGAAGATAAAGACTGTACAAGGAAGACAGAAAGCCTTCTCTACCTGTTCCTCCCATGTTACTGTTATTACATTGCTCCATCTGTCTCTGATATGTGTATATTTCCAGCCTCCTGTCACAGACGTTCATGACAGCACTAAGACTGTATCTCTATTAAACACGATTTTAATTCCATTGCTTAACCCTGTTCTATACAGTCTGAGGAATAAAGAAGTAAAACTTGCTCTTCAGAAACTTTCAAGGACAATAAAGTGGAGCAACATCATTGTATGTACAGTTTTGTAACCTCTTCAAGCCTGTGCTCCTTTTGTAAAAGCAAAATGTATAAGAAACATTTATTGATATTAACTATAAGATGCAGTAATAGCTCAGAACACTATCAAACTTGTCTTTCAATCGATGGTTAATGGTCAGAATACTCAAAGTACATGAGCACAAGCATTTTAGAAAATGCAGTAGGTTGAAAAATAATATGTGAATAACATTGTCAAATACTCTCAACAGAATAAGATTACATTTGTGTAAATGATGATTAACATATTAACAAAAGAATATTACTATTAAGCTTATGCACAATAAAAAAAATGGTTTGTCCAAATTGATTCATCAGAAAAAAAAAATTGTTTAGGCGAGTTGGATTTTGTCCCTGTGTTGTTTTGGTGCAGATATACGTTGTTTATGCGATTGGTTCAGGAAAAATTATCCTGATGAACCAAAAAGATGTGAAATATTTGCTAATCAGTTTACTTAAAAATATATACATTTTGTTTACAGATCAAGGGGGAAAAAATGGGAGCAGTAAAAAAATATAATAATTATTTAGGGGCAGAGCTTGCCCTTTAACCAGAACAGATGCATGGTACACAAGCTCCTGACAAACTTTTTTAGGGGTGCTAATCCCTGCCAATCCCTGATAACCAGCGATTATTCCTGCCAACTGTGCACCACTAACATTGGGGATACCCGGTTAAGCATTTCATAATCCTTACCTGACTCTCAACTCCACTGAGTGCTGGAAAATCTACTGGTCTACTGGTGGCGAGGCTGATCCCCTCACTCTCCTGTTTCTTGTGGGTACCACTGTGCTTCTCCCCCCTGCACTGGGGGGGGGATATCCAGATCTCCACAGAATTATTGCTGCACTCACCTCATACTCTGAGTTGTACTTTAGCCAAATTTTAACTGCCATGATAATCTAAGATGGCATCTGCTCCCCATTTTGATGGACAGGGCCTGGGTTTATCCCTACAGCCTCAACGCTGCTCTATTGAATCCTCCTTGCAATGATAAGATGCGTTCTTTCAGGATTTCTGGCGCAAGCTACGGGAGCGTGAGAGAGCCTCCCTGACTAAGGCACGTTGAGGCCAACAGAGCAGCACCTTGTAGGGCAAATAAAGCATGCAGGTGTCTAACTACTCCTTTGTAAGCCTTTATGGGCAAAGAGCCTTATAAGGATATGCCTCTTTTCATCAACTACACAGGCTGAAGATCATCCATGGAAAGCGGTATATACCAGCCCGATCCTCTGACTGCCCACAGTGAGTGAGAGACTTGGTATCTATGAGTCACCAAGTTTTTGGACTGCACTTGCTGGCCCTCATACTAGCCTAGGCTTGAGGGGAACTCTGCTCTGGCGCTACAACATGAATGTTTACCTGTGCTCTCCTTGTCCACAGCCTGCACTGTGCTCACATTATCTTTAATGCTGACAAATGCCACTTGATTTGACATGTTAAAAGGGCAACTTGTTATTATTCCTTTTTATTAATTTTGTTTCTCCATAATTCTTTTCACTTCTTTAAAACTCACCTTGTATATTGCAGTGATATCCAGATATCTGGAACCTTAGTGGACGTTTTGTAGGCAAGATAAGATTCTACCAGTTAACTGTGACAGTTATTCATTGCAGGGTGATAGGTTGATAGATAGATAGATAGATAGATAGGTAGATGGATAGGTAGGTAGGTAGGTAGGTAGATAGATGGATGGATGGATGGATGGATGGATAGACAGACAGACAGATAGATAGATAGATAGATAGATAGATAGATAGATAGATAGATAGATAGATAGATAGATAGATAGACTTCAAAATTGTGGATGCATTTATGCAACAAATATCTTGTTACATTGCAGCATTAATATTTTAACTTTTTCAAGATCAAACAGTGTTATCTTTGTGCTATTTACAGGAATAATAAAATTATTTACTCACTAATTCTCATGTGTGAACACCGGGCACGATGATGTATATGTTAACCAAGTAAATCAAGTGTAAACCCAGTGAAAGTATAACCGTGGTAACTAAGATCACAAGTGTGGTTGCAAGGAAACCAATAAACATAAGCTCAGTGCCAGTGAATGAAGATATGTTATTGCAACCTATGTGAAGGATGTACTTTACAAGCCATAACATCCGATAATAAATACACTTAAAATCAAAATCACTTATACTCATACTTTTTTAATTCTGATCATTTATTGATTCATATCAATTGAATAAAAATGGTAAAACATTTCAGAAAGAGGTTTTATAGTAAACATTTTAATAATTTATATTTTGTTTTGACTTTCTAATGGTTTGTTTTTTTTCAAGATTTGGTTAACCACCGAACATATACCAAGACAAACCATCACAAATTGAAATATAAAAATAAAGCAGCAAATGTAGAAAAAATAAGCACAGATTACAGCCTCCAATTGTGTAATACAGTTTAATTAACTGAAAATTGAATTTTAAAATACATATACAATGTGTAAATAAAGTGCCCTTCATGAGTTAATTCACTTGTGTCAATAATGTTGCCAGAAAAATATATCCCATTTTCCTGTAATAAATGCAAACTATACTCTTCTTTTTTGTTCATGTAGATTATTTTTTTCTCAGATGCACATGTATCCATTCTTTCTTCCATCCAATGTTATCTGGCTATGCACCCTGGGTGAAGGTTATGTTTTCACAAAGTAAATGCTCCACTAAGCCTATGTGTTTCATGAGACACTGCTTGTCATGCCCATTGGGCATGATTCATTGTCCATTGTAAAAAATATTATCAATCACTGTGATCTATGTAGAGGATGCATGCAATGGTTACCTAGTAGAAGTGTCATGATACACCTATGAGGTGATCTCGGTCATCGAAGACAATAGGTTAAATCTCCATTTTGATGAAGCTTTAGTAGCGAAACGTGTTATTGGATGTTTCATTTACTTTGTATTTATATTAAAGGAACCTTTTTGTACAATACATTGTATTGCAATAAAATATATTGTATGGTGACAAGGGTGATCTGTGTGGAAAACAGGTGCTTTGAGAGTGATAGCAGGTACAAAACTAGCTGCTACAACACTTCAATGTGGATCTCTCTAATCCACCTATTTGTAAAGTATAGTAAAGGTAAGGGAATTTAAGAGAGGGTTATTAAAAAACAAACCACCCACCAAAAGGTCCTTTAAGTGGAGCGCTAAACAGTACTTACCCCTAATCTTAGGGGTATCAGGTATTCCAAATAGAGCCTTAAATATGCAAAAAAAGAGAAAATATATTTACAATAGTGGAGTATGTCAAAATCTAATGCATAAATGATAAATTTTATATAATTAAACTCACAAGTGAAGAGCCAAGTAGGGGACTGGCTCAAATCACGATCACCTTGGTTTACATTACTCATAGATGTGTTCGGGCCCATCAGACCATCAGACCAATCAGCCACATTATAATCGGGCCCCGAGGAGAACCCACCTGCTAGTAGCCCACAGTTTGGGCAACAGGTACAAGCACCCCGCATACCTTGTGTCAAACATATAACCCTCGTCTAACCCAATATGAGCAATAACACCTGAGCATATACACCACCGTGCTTTATAGTTCTGGGAGAATATATAATTTTTTTCTTTCTTTTAAACCCAGGAGAACCCACTGGCCACATTGCTAGAGACGTCAATAAGCGTCCACCCCATGGCACAATTCCACAGTGCCAAGACCCTAGTATGGGTCACCTTTTATATATGTTGGTTCTTATACCTACCTAACCCCTCCTTCCTGTTACCCCTCATCTCCCTGAACTACACAGTGTTACCAATCATCCACCACCTAAAAGAGACGGTGTTGCCCTGGTCGACGCAACAAGCAAACGCAAAATTACGACACTTCCATCCGAGCTACCTATACCATAAACCCATACTATGAGAATATACTCCCATAACACCAGAGGGTTAAACACCCCACACAAGAGGTGCATGCTGCTAGATGAAGCAAAACAGAGACAGGCAGACATTGTGTGTTTACAAGAAACACACTTTGTCAAAATAGAGTGCCCCAATTTGGCTTGAGGGACTACCCCTATCAATATCACTCAAAATATACGTCTAAATCCAAAGGAGTCTCAATCCTCCTCCATTCATCCCTCACTGTTGAGTTCCTCCACGTCAAAAAAGATAAACAGGGAAGATATGTGATGCTACAGTGCTTAATTAACGACTCTAACTACGTCATAGTCAGCTTCTATAGCCCCAACGCAAACCAAAGGAATTTTTTACACAAAGTACTGTCCACAATTCCAGTTCTCAACATGGCCTCTTAACCATCCTCTGGACCCTTTTATGGATACCACTTTAAATCCCACAGCCCCTAGACACACGGTGGTTAAATCACAAAGCAAGGCCATGACCAAATTTCTGGGGGAATTTGGGCTCTATAACTCATGGAGGACATGCCATCCAAACAAAAAAACATTCTCATACTACTCAGCAGTTCACAAATCCTACTCCAGGTTAGATTTTATATTCCTAATGGACCCCCTCCTACCCAAGGTCACAAACAGTGACATTGGAGACATTACATGGTCAGAGCAAGCACCGACCATGGTGAAGTTGGCAGGGGACTACCAACACAGGGGGAGGGCACTGTGGCGCCTAAACAACAACTACTACACAACCAAAGATTCTCTCAAGCTCTGACAGAAGCAATTCTCAATTACTTCCAAATTAATGTAACCCCAGATGTTTTACCAATGACAATTTGCCAGGCCCATAAGGCAGTTATAAGAGGCCTCGTAATAAGTCACGCCTCATTTCTAAAGAAAAAAACACAGGGAGACTATCAAACTCTACTACGCACACTACGGGACACGACGGCAGCAAATACGCTACACACCACCCCACAGAGGACACAAACAAATCGAGACACCACGGCACAAATCAACCACCTGTCACTCTCCAAAACCACACACATCCTACAGAAACTTAAACAGACCATATACTCACAATGCAACAAAGCAGGGAAACATTTAGCGACACAGCTCTGTCAAAATAAATCAAATGCCAAAATTCTATACCTCCTCACTCACACCAGGGAAAAAATCCACAACTCACAAAATATTAACGATAACATGGAAACATACTATCATACCCTATATATGGCGAAACCAACCTCGCCACTGGGCATTGGAGAAGCCTCCTGTCTGCTGACTATGGCCCCTGGGAGATTTGGCCCTTTAAATACAGTATTTGGGCATATTGTATTTTAGTATGCTGCTGTTGGCCCTTTAAGAACCATCTGGGGACATACTGTGACTTTTGGGAACAATGCCCCTTTAAGACTATGGCCCCTGGTAGATATTGCCTGTTAAAGACTACTTTAGCAGATTGTATTTTAAAAGACTTGCTGCCTCTTTAAATTGCATTGGAGCAGTTCTGCAGCTTTAACTTGGCACTTCGGATGCAGCCAAAGGGCAGAAGTAGTCGAAGTGGCCGCCAATCGACAAACAAACACGTGGCGGCGACCATTTTTGTTCATTCGAACGAGGTCAGCGGTATGTGTAGCCAAATCCATGGAACTGAAACTGGCTACACATTTCAACGAACACCGCTGACCCTTACCTTCTCCTACACTCAGTTTTCAGCTGCAGAGACTAACTCCCATTCAGCAGTTTGAACTCACTGCTATACTAAGCTAAATGCATGAATGGCCCTGTGTAAAATAGACCGACCGCACAGCCCAAATCTATGGAACTATTTTGGGCAGGAAAATGTGCTTGCGGTCGGTCATAAAGGACTCCCAGCTAACTTTTTATCTACTGGATGCATTTGTCTGTTTTTTTGAGAGTGTTTTCTGTAATGTACGTGTATTATTGGTTGTTCTGTAAAACCCTGTGGGCAGGACTATGTGTGTAGATTGTGAATAAAAGAGGCTGTATGTAGGGGGAAGAGCCTGTCCTTGAAGGAAGATGGACGCTTGAATTCTGAGCTCCCTCTCCCCATAGCACGTTAATCCGCTACCATCGGCATCCCTCTTCGTCCCTGCCACCCAACACCATGGGAGGCAGAAAGAAGAAAAAAGATCAGACCCCATCGGTCGCAACAATCTTCCACACACCTAACACCTCACAGAGGCCTAACAGCTCCCAGCACATAGAGGAGGAGGACTCCGATCTTGAAGAGTTCACCCCACCAACTGACCCAATGGCCCCACTTACCATCGGGATCCTCCAGAGCATGCTACACAAAGCAACTACGGATATCAAATCCCCCGTGATGTCAGAAATAAACAAACAGCTGGTAGGTCTCAAAGCCGACGTGGCCACGCTTACCTCCAAAGCGGAACAAGCCGAGACCCGCATATCCAAATTAACAACAACTTCAGCTGAACAAGCCCAAGATATTGCCTATTTTCATGGCAGAATAGCGGCACTAGAAGACGGCATGGAATACCTCAACAATAGATCCCAGAGGAACAACATCCGGATCAGAGGCCTCCCCGAAACGGTCACACTAGAGCAGCTAGTACCCACCCTGAAAAGCATCTTCAAGGATATAGCACCAGACCTCACCGCTAGAGACCTGGAGATGGATAGAGACAACCGGGCCCTGAAACCTCCAAACCTCAACCAAGCCACCCCAGAGATATTATCACACGCCTACACCACTTCCCAGCGAAGGAAAAACTACTACAAGCGTCCAGGCACAAACAGCCCAAATACAAGGAACACCACCTCTCCTCCTTCCAGGATCTTGCTCCATCGACCCTGAAAAAGCGGCGGGACCTCAAACCCCTTACTCTGGCCCTCCAACAACAAGGATTGAGATACACGTGGGGCCACCCGTTTAAATTGATTGTTAAAAAAGACAATAAAAACCCACATTCTCATGTCTCCTGCTGATATGACTCCCTTCGCTGACTCACTGGGGATCCAACTGGTGCAACACGCTCCCTCACTCAGGCAGTGGACCGAATATCGTACCGATGAAGGGCCCCGCTCTCCACACCCTCCGAAGAAAAAAAGACCCCAACCACACGAGCAGGCTGAGGCTGGCTCCACAGCCCAGGATTGGTAGTCGTTCCACTTACCCGCTACATGATATACCTGCAACACGCTGCATTCCCACGAGATAAGCTCTGATCCGACACACACCAAGCCTGTCCTACCACCTAAACAAACAACATTACACCAAGATATACACAAATACCTTGGTTCCTGCACCTCATCCCGCAGGATGGACCAGAGACCTAGACATGGCGTACCGGACCACAGCAAGTAAACCGGGACTCATTGGGGAGGGCTAGGGACCCGGGAGGGGCCTCTGGACTCGGGCAAGGGACTTACCTTACAGGAGTTACCCTCAGACACCAGCTGTTATTAAGACATCCTGAACACTCAAATGTTTTACATTTTCGCACAGGCCCCCCCTTTATTTATTTATTAATGTTTTTTAATTTTATTTAATTTATCTTTTTTTTTATGATGACATTTAATTTACTGCAGGGGCCGACATATCCTAACCCCCCCATACCGACAGTCAACTTAGCCATTTTTAAGGCATGATAGCCCGACCTACCGTGCAGGGACTTGGCTTACACGCAGGGACTGGGTGACCCCTACCTCTGCAAACACTCAGGGAATGTGACCCAAGCTTTAATACACCACTTCTAAAATACTGTATTTTTAACCTACATGACAGCGGGTAATGTTTCTTAATACCTCAATTAAACTTAAATTGTTTAATATTGTTCTTCATTACCCTAAAATGTTTATGTATATACCTGTTTACGTTTATATTTATGTCTAGCATAACACCTTGCTACTGGAGGACTGTAACCGGACTGCAACTGAACCCCACCTCAGCTGACCTCTCTCTTCGAGACCACTGACACCATCCCAAGACAACCAACTTAACCACTGGATATTTTCAATCTCTCACAAGTGACGCCACACAGGGACCACCCACGGCACTGGTACAGATCATCACCACTTAAACCTCAAAACCGTGAGTGATAACAATCAAAACGTGCTGGGGGGGAGGACGAGGGATACTTGAAAACCTTCTTCCTCTCTCTCCCAGTTGCGCACACAGCCCAAACCAGGGCATTACCTACACAAAGACCCCACCCTACAGGCACCACTAATACCTCCCTACACCACCTGGCAAATATTGTGTAAGACCAGGAATCCTATACACATAACCGCTCGCCCCTCCCCTACCTACCCCCAACCCCAACCGCATCCCTCCCCCACTCATTCCCCACAACCCTTCCATACCCCAACTCCCCCTCTTAAAACTAGCCCGTAACAGACCGGGAGAGCCGGACCCGAGGGCCCACCCTACCCCATGTGACTTCCAACACATCTAGGACACCCACTATGCCTACAACAATCTCATGCATATCGCTGAATTGCAAGGGCCTCAACAACCCGGCCAAACAACACCAACTATTACGATGGGCAACTCGCTCAAAGGCAGAACTGATCCTTCTTCAAGAAACACACTACGATGACTCTAGGCCTTTCCCCCTACGAAACAAACAATACATCACATGCTACCTCGCAAACTCCCATACTGGCAAACACAACGGAGTAGCCATATTAATACATAAAGCCTGCCCGATACACTTCACACGCACCATCCCAGACCCCCAAGGTAGATACTGTGGGGATATTTATGGGATGATAATTGTTAAGACCTGCAGTGGTTATGGTGCTGCGGTCTTGGTTCCCTATCCCCACAGCTGAGTATGAGTGATTATAGCTGCAGCAGGGAGTAGAGGAATAAGAGAGATGAAATGCAGTTCCAAGGTGCTCCTTCCCAGCAAGTAGAATATCCCCCAAACATGAGCCTAGACTTCATGAAGGGTGTAACAGGAGTAATCTTTATTGAAAACACACGGGCTTTTATGAGAAATCCTCCTGCAAGAGGACCTCCCACAGCAAACAAAAGCAACAGCCAATCATCACATAAATTTACAGTATTACACGCCTCCTCTCTGCCTGGGAGATATTGAGATAAGTTAAGAAATAAACCAATTATCTCCAGGCAGAGAGCACAAAATTTCCCCAAAACTTAGAACACCCCTTTCCCCACAAGGTATCCCCACAAATTACATATCCCCTGATAGCCCAGATCTGGGAGACCAACATATCCAAATTTCACCCAGATTAGTTCAGGGGTTCTGAAAAAGTGTGGAGGGTCCCTTTTACCGACCACACACGCGGCTCCTGCCCAAAACAGTTCCATGAATTCAGCGTGTGCGGTCGGTCAATTCACAAAATTTTTAAAAATGAACAAAAGACCTGAATGGATTCCCCTGGCCCATAGTAGCGATTGCTCCCCTCGTCCGTTCGCACAGAACTACCGAATGGGGCTTCTCTGGCTGTTTGGGAAATAGGAGAAGCTGGCTTTCGGTAGTTTCCAGCGGTAGTTTGCGTGGTCGAATGCCCAATTTTAGTTCCAGGCACTCGACGACCAAGTCTCGCTGGCTCTCCTCGTGCAAACAAGATGGCCGCCGTTTTCTTTTCCACGTGGCTTTCGGTTATACGAACAGTGGCCGACCAGGGAGCACTTAATAGCTTGTTCCTTTGTACTAAATGAGCCAGGAGGATGGTCGGTGTTCGGTAGTTTCAAACTACCGAACCAATCCATTCAATTTGTTAGTAATCCCATATAAAAATACCGAATAAAAAAAGGAGAAAATGTCAGGCAAAAGTCCATTTTCTTCACAATAATATTATACAGTTGATAATTGCCCACTATTTCAATTCTCTTAGCTCTTAGAGATCGTTATCATGTAAGTGAAATGTATTCCATACAAATAAAATCACAATTTGTTATAAAAATTATTTTAATTTATTGTGACAAATAAAATAATAATATTAGGCAGCATGCATGATATTAATCAGTGAATATTTAGTATAACAAAAGTATGCAATATAATGGCTAGACACAGTACACAGAAAGCAAAACACCCAGCCCCGCGAAAACCTTGGCTAACAGTTAAATCAACTGAGTAACCTTTCAATGCTGGCTATATCCTCCTAGGCATATAGTATCATATACTCATGTAATTTTCAATCAAAATAACATTTGAACCAGCTCATTAATAATTTCCTGGAACCATCCAACAAGAATAATCTACCAGATTTTTACAAAAGCCGAATTTTAATTTGTCTAAAAATATATCTTATCTTATTTTAGAGCAAATCAATACACCTGGATAAAAACAGCTGTATGCTAATATGTGATAATATCACATTAATATATAATTATTCTTAAATCCACCTGCAGGTTGGAATGTTTATAACTATATATTCTTTAGTTAACTAAGATTTGTAAATATTAAAATCTGACCGTGATTTATCCAGTCATATATCATGCTATTAGTAAATGTTTAATTAATTTAAATTAATTAAATAAAACCAGCATAATTACCAGTTATGTAGATATTCTGATCAGATTAGTAGTAGTAGTCCCAGAAACTTGATTGGTCGTATGGAGGTGCGTGAGTGATAGTGAAAAGTGGTGTTGGTTAGAAAGTGTCAAAGAGTTTGTGAGTTGAGTGTTAAGAGTTTAAGAGTGTTAGTCTCAGAGATGTTTCTTGAGTCCCTCTCTCTGCATGTCCGAATCGGAATCCCCAAACTTCCACTCGTCTCTCTGTATGTCCAACTTTTCCCTTTGTCCTTACTTTTAAAGGGCCAGACTCTTTGTACGTCATTAGTTGATAAACCAATAGGAAGCCGTAGGTGGATTCAATCGATGGATCGCAATTTAGGTATTTGATCCATAGAGGGCAGTCTCGTCTAACGAAACCTTCCTATCCAGGAAAGAGTTAACTTTTCCTGATGACGATTTTTACGTCATTTGACTTATCTAAAATGACTACCATAACTTAGATTTGCTGTCAGTTCAAAGCGTTTCTCTCAGTCTTTGTGGCAACTACTTTGATCGTAACTTGTAAAATGGACAGTTCTAAACTCAATTTCACCCCTTACTTACAATGGAACCTTGTAAAATTTAGAAAGTAAAATTAATTACTTAGTCTTTTCTGTCACTAGTGTCTGTGTTTATGTAACGCATTCCTCAGTGGTTAGTGAAAGTAAGAAGAAACTATGTTTCTGTTATCCTGAAGATAGCAAAATGGAGTCCGCTTTGTTTTGAGTGACTTGGGCAGAATACACCTTTGATTTCTTTTTAGCACAAAATGTCTGTTGATATAAATATTCTGACAGGTGGGACAATATATGTGACAAAACCAATCTCGCCACATTGCATTGGAGGAGCCTGGTTGCCCGCCTGCTGCCTTTGGATTATGGACCGGCAGCTAAAGGGTTAATTTTACTGTGCAGAAGGATTTATTTCTCCCTTTCTGCACAGCCGTTCGGTAGATTCCATCTACCAAACAAACAGTCTCTTTTCAGCCTCCCCAGAGCCGTGGGAAGCCGGCCGGCGACCTTAATTGGCCACCCAGAAGCTGGAGTGCGCCCTCCATTTACCTCCCTGAAGCCGCGGTTAACCGCGGCTTAACGAGCGTGTGCCGGCAATTGACCACCCAGTAGCTGCGGTTAACCGCAGCTTAATTGATTGTTACTGGGTGGTCGCGGTTACACTTAGCCGCCACACGATGGCGGTGTTCTGGAGCTCCCCGGGCAGCCAGCGCTTGTCTGCCCGGCTTTCATGCACCAAACCCGGACACTTTTACGTGCAGGCACCGCTGAACCTCCAACCCCTGGTTCTAATTCGCACGGATTGAACGAATGCATGTAAATTCGGTATTTTATGTTGGAGGAATGTTTTAACCCAGATAGCTATGCCATGGAGCCTGTTCGTGGAATTAAAGACTTTGGCTCCATGGCAATTAAAACTGTATTCGTGTGGTCTGAGTGCCATTCACCTAATAATGTGCACTCAGACCTGAGCTATCTGGGGATATGTTACATGTCTGTGTTTTATGTAGTAAATGTTACTTTGTGCATTTTAAAGTATAATGCTGGTTTTGTGTTCCCACGTGTGTAATGGAGTTTTGCCTTTGACTTGGGAGATAATTGAGTTACTTCCCAATTATCTCCCAGGGCAGAGGGGAGGAAGCCAGGATGCATTGTGGGAATATACTGTGACTGTGTGTCCTTTTTGTATACTTGTCTGTCCCTTGTCACAGTCTCCCATTTGGTCCCCTAGGGGAGTGTCCACCAGGTGGGAGACCTGCATAAAAGCTGGGCAGGTAGCCCTCATTAAACAGACCACTGCTTGACCCTCAACACGGAGCCTTGTCTCGTCTTTGGGGGGATTTACTGTATGCTGCTAAGGACTGATTGCCAGGAGTGTAAGCCGCTTGGGAGCTTTTCCTGTTCGTCTGGTAGCAGCAATTCGTATGGTTCCTGTTCGTGTATTTGGAGTGCTACCTTATTCCCTTGTATGCCGTTCGGGAGTTTGGAGCATTCACTTGTATGCAGTTCGAGAGTTTGGAGCATTCACTTGTATGCAGTTCGAGTGTTTGGACCATTCCCTTGTATGCAGTTCGAGTGTTTGGAGCATTCCCTTGTATGCCGTTCGGGAGTTTGGAGCATTCACTTGTATTCAGTTCGTGAGTTTTGGTGATTCTACAGTAGCTGTGCCTGTCTCTGAAAGGGGATTATCGTCTAAGCGGTTTTTTCCCCTTTTGTGCAAAACGGTCCGTTACAATTGGTGGCAAGCGGCGGGATCGTTCCCACAGACTACAGGACAGCTACAGGCGACACCATTCCGTGGATTTTTACAATTTGAGGGCAACGCATGTCCCAGTACAGCGACCCTGACAGCACCGAGATGGAACCAGCAGTGGAGTATGATGAGGGTGCCATGGATGACCGAGATGCAGTCCGTAAAGGCATCTGGTACCAGGCACTGGGTATTGCGGAGTACCAGCGGGGCGAGAGATTCCCCAAGGAAGACCAGCGGTTGCAGAAGCGAGTAGCCCTGCGGATGCCCTTCCTGGGAGAGCAGCCCCTGGAAGAATGGGTGAGGAAATTGGAACACCTAGTATGGCAGGAGATGTGGCTAGAAGATGCCTACCAGGCGCTCTGGTGGTATGGGGCACAATACCTGCCCTGGAAAGCCGAGCATGACAAGCCAGAGGGAGAGGAGTTTGATGGTCCTGGCTTGTTATGGGAGACTTTTGCAGAGCCTGAGTTTGGGAGCCCTACACAAGCCCGGTTCAGTGATCTCTTTGAGTGGAGGGAGAGCAGGTATGACTGGGACGACACTCACGAAATTGAGCAAGACCTGGTCCACCTGGTGACCCGAGAGATGGAGCTGGAACAGGGTTACCAAAATCTGTTCCACTCCAGTGAGAAGGCTCAGCAGGGAAGCGGAGACCCAGATCCAGACCCATTCAGCTGGGAAGATATTGTGGAGTGTTACTGGGAAGAACCCCAGGTGGCCGGTGGAGATGGGACCAAGGTCTCTCCACCGGTCCTGCAGGGAATTGGGAGCCCAGTCTCCATTCCCCAGCGGCCGTGTGATTTATTGGGAATTGGGAGCCCAGTCTCCATTCCCCAGCGGGAGATATTGCAGGGAATTGGGAGCCTGAGCTCCATTCCCCAGCGGCAGGCGGAGTTACAGGGGACAGAGATAGTCGCTCCTGTCCCCCAGCAGCAGAATGAATTGCAGGGAATTGGGAGCCCGAGCTCCATTCCCCAGCGGGAGAAATTGCAGGGAATTGGGAGCCCGAGCTCCATTCCCCAGCGGGAGATATTGCAGGGAATTGGGAGCCTGAGCTCCATTCCCCAGCGGCAGGCTGAGTTACAGGGGGCAGAGGTAGTTGTTCCTGCCCCCCAGCAGCAGAGTGATATGCCGGGAAGGCAGTGTAAAGTGCAGGGAGAGGAGAACAGCGTCCTCCCTCCCCAGCGGCAGGCTGAGATACAGGGGGCAGAGGTAGTTGTTCCTGCCCCCCAGCAGCCAAGTGATATGCCGGGAAGGCAGTGGGAAGTCCAGGGAGAGGAGAGCAGTGTCCTCCCTCCCCAGCGGCAGCGTGATTTTTTGGGAATTGGGAGCCCAGTCTCCATTCCCCAGCGGCAGAATGATGCTTTGGGAATTGGGAGCCCAGTCTCCATCCCCCAGCGGCAGCACAGATCATTGGGAATTGGGAGCCCCGTCTCCATTCCCCAGCGGCAGAGTGTCCTACCGGGAATAGAGAGCCCAGTCTCCTTTCCCCAGCAGCAGGACTCTGTATTGGGAGCAGAGACAGTCGGTCTCCCTCCCCCACAGCTGGAAGTATGTATGGGAGAGGAGCTTGTTACCCCCTCTCCCCAGCGGCAGCTTAATGTACAAAGGGGAGACAGTAAGCCCCACAACCGTGCAGATGGGACCGTAGTCTCTACACTGCCAGCACAGGGGGTAGGGACGGTCGGTCCTGCCCCCCAGCGACAGGGCTGTTTAGCCAAAGGGGAGACAATCGGTCTCCCCCTCCAGCAGCAGAGATGGGTAACCAAAGGGGAGACGGTCGGTCTCCAGCAGCAGGACTGTGCAGCTAAAGGGGAGACGGTCGGTCTCCAGCAGCAGGACTGTGCATCTAAAGGGGAGACAGTCAGTCTCCAGCAGCAGCAGCAGAGCGGTGTATTTAAAGGGGAGACAGTCGGTCTCCCCCTCCAACAACCAGGCTTCCACCAGGCTACCCTCCCAGTAGCGCTGGCAACAGGGCAGAGTGCCGCTGGTCTCTGCCCACGCAGCAACCCACCAAGTCAGCGTACCCGTACCCAGCACAGCCGTGGTGAGGCACCTGGACATGGACAAGCTTCTTCTCTACCCAGGTGTAGTAACCATTTATTGTGGGTGGGCTGTGCTGTTGATTATGTTTTGTGGGTGGGCTGCTGGACTAACAAGGGCACTGACCGGCAGGAGGTCAGATACCCTGTTAGTCTGTTTGGAAAAGGGGAGAGATGTGACAAAACCAATCTCGCCACATTGCATTGGAGGAGCCTGGTTGCCCGCCTGCTGCCTTTGGATTATGGACCGGCAGCTAAAGGGTTAATTTTACTGTGCAGAAGGATTTATTTCTCCCTTTCTGCACAGCCGTTCGGTAGATTCCATCTACCAAACAAACAGTCTCTTTTCAGCCTCCCCAGAGCCGTGGGAAGCCGGCCGGCGACCTTAATTGGCCACCCAGAAGCTGGAGTGCGCCCTCCATTTACCTCCCTGAAGCCGCGGTTAACCGCGGCTTAACGAGCGTGTGCCGGCAATTGACCACCCAGTAGCTGCGGTTAACCGCAGCTTAATTGATTGTTACTGGGTGGTCGCGGTTACACTTAGCCGCCACACGATGGCGGTGTTCTGGAGCTCCCCGGGCAGCCAGCGCTTGTCTGCCCGGCTTTCATGCACCAAACCCGGACACTTTTACGTGCAGGCACCGCTGAACCTCCAACCCCTGGTTCTAATTCGCACGGATTGAACGAATGCATGTAAATTCGGTATTTTATGTTGGAGGAATGTTTTAACCCAGATAGCTATGCCATGGAGCCTATTCGTGGAATTAAAGACTTTGGCTCCATGGCAATTAAAACTGTATTCGTGTGGTCTGAGTGCCATTCACCTAATAATGTGCACTCAGACCTGAGCTATCTGGGGATATGTTACATGTCTGTGTTTTATGTAGTAAATGTTACTTTGTGCATTTTAAAGTATAATGCTGGTTTTGTGTTCCCACGTGTGTAATGGAGTTTTGCCTTTGTCTTGGGAGATAATTGAGTTACTTCCCAATTATCTCCCAGGGCAGAGGGGAGGAAGCCAGGATGCATTGTGGGAATATACTGTGACTGTGTGTCCTTTTTGTATACTTGTCTGTCCCTTGTCACAGTCTCCCATTTGGTCCCCTAGGGGAGTGTCCACCAGGTGGGAGACCTGCATAAATACTGGGCAGGTAGCCCTCATTAAACAGACCACTGCTTGACCCTCAACACGGAGCCTTGTCTCGTCTTTGGGGGGATTTACTGTATGCTGCTAAGGACTGATTGCCAGGAGTGTAAGCCGCTTGGGAGCTTTTCCTGTTCGTCTGGTAGCAGCAATTCGTATGGTTCCTGTTCGTGTATTTGGAGTGCTACCTTATTCCCTTGTATGCCGTTCGGGAGTTTGGAGCATTCACTTGTATGCAGTTCGAGTTTTGGACCATTCCTTGTTGCAGTTCGAGAGCATTCCCTTGTATGCCGTTCGAGTTTGGAGCATTCACTTGTATTCAGTTGTGAGTTTTGGTGATTCTACAGTAGCTGTGCCTGTCTCTGAAAGGGGGATTATCGTCTAAGCGGTTTTTATCCCTTTTTGTGCAAAACGGTCCGTTACAATTGGTGGCAAGCGGCGGGATCGTTCCTACAGCCAGAAGGACAGCTACAGGAGACACCATTTCTTTGGATTTTACAATTTGAGGGCAACGCATGTCCCAGTACAGCGACCCTGACAGCACCAGCATGGAACCAGCAGTGGAGTATGATGAGGGTGCCATGGATGACCGAGATGCAGTCCGTAAAGGCATCTGGTACCAGGCACTGGGTATTGTGGAGTACCAGCGGGGCAAGAGACTCCCCAAGGAAGACCAGCGGTTGCAGAAGCGAGTAGCCCTGCGGATGCCCTTCCTGGGAGAGCAGCCCCTGGAAGAATGGGTGAGGAAATTGGAACACATCGTATGGCAGGAGATGTGGCTAGAAGATGCCTACCAGGTGCTCTGGTGGTATGGGGCACAATACCTGCCCTGGAAAGCCGAGCATGACAAGCCAGAGGGAGAGGAGTTTGATGGTCCTGGCTTGTTATGGGAGTCTTTTGCAGAGCCTGAGTTTGGGAGCCCTACACAAGCCCGGTTCAGTGATCTCTTGGAGTGGAGGGAGAGCAGATATGACTGGGACGACACTCACGAAATTGAGCAAGACCTGGTCCACCTGGTGACACGAGAGATGGAGCTGGAGCAGGGCTACCAAGATCTGTTCCACTCTAGTGAGAAGGCTCAGCAGGGAAGCGGAGACCCAGATCCAGACCCATTCAGCTGGGAAGACATTATTGAGGATTACTGGGAAGAACCCCAGATGGCGGGTGGAGATGGGACTGAGGTCTCTCCACCGGTATTGCAGGGAATTGGGAGCCCGAGCTCCATTCCCCAGCGGGAGATATTGCAGGGAATCGGGAGCCCAAGCTCCATTCCCCAGCGGCAGGCTGAGTTACAGGGGACAGAGATAGTTGCTTCTGTCCCCCAGCAGCAGTGTGAATTGCAGGGAATTGGGAGCCTGAGCTCCATTCCCCAGCGGCAGGCTGAGTTACAGGGGGCAGAGGTAGTTGTTCCTGCCCCCCAGCAGCAGAATGAATTGCAGGGAATTGGGAGCCCGAGCTCCATTCCCCAGCGGGAGATATTGCAGGGAATTGGGAGCCTGAGCTCAATTCCCCAGCGGCAGGCTGAGTTACAGGGGGCAGAGGTAGTTGTTCCTGCCCCCCAGCAGCAGAGTGATATGCCGGGAAGGCAGTGTAAAGTGCAGGGAGAGGAGAACAGCGTCCTCCCTCCCCAGCGGCAGGCTGAGATACAGGGGGCAGAGGTAGTTGTTCCTGCCCCCCAGCAGCCAAGTGATATGCCGGGAAGGCAGTGTGAAGTCCAGGGAGAGGAGAGCAGTGTCCTCCCTCCCCAGCTGCAGCGTGATTTTTTGGGAATTGGGAGCCCAGTCTCCATTCCCCAGCGGCAGTATGATGCTTTGGGAATTGGGAGCCCAGTCTCCATTCCCCAGCGGCAGCACAGATCATTGGGAATTGGGAGCCCCGTCTCCATTCCCCAGCGGCAGAGTGTCCTACCGGGAATAGAGAGCCCAGTCTCCTTTCCCCAGCAGCAGGACTCTGTATTGGGAGCAGAGACAGTCGGTCTCCCTCCCCCACAGCTGGAAGTATGTATGGGAGAGGAGCTTGTTACCCCCTCTCCCCAGCGGCAGCTTAATGTACAAAGGGGAGACAGTAAGCCCCACAACCGTGCAGATGGGACCGTAGTCTCTACACTGCCAGCACAGGGGGTAGGGACGGTCGGTCCTGCCCCCCAGCGACAGGGCTGTTTAGCCAAAGGGGAGACAGTCGGTCTCCCCCTCCAGCAGCAGAGATGGGTAACCAAAGGGGAGACGGTCGGTCTCCAGCAGCAGGACTGTGCATCTAAAGGGGAGACGGTCGGTCTCCAGCAGCAGGACTGTGCATCTAAAGGGGAGACAGTCAGTCTCCAGCAGCAGCAGCAGAGCGGTGTATTTAAAGGGGAGACAGTCGGTCTCCCCCTCCAACAACCAGGCTTCCACCAGGCTACCCTCCCAGTGGCGCTGGCAACAGGGCAGAGTGCCGCTGGTCTCTGCCCACGCAGCAACCCACCAAGTCAGCGTACCCGTACCCAGCACAGCCGTGGTGAGGCACCTGGACATGGACAAGCTTCTTCTCTACCCAGGTGTAGTAACCATTTATTGTGGGTGGGCTGTGCTGTTGATTATGTTTTGTGGGTGGGCTGCTGGACTAACAAGGGCACTGACCGGCAGGAGGTCAGATACCCTGTTAGTCTGTTTGGAAAAGGGGAGAGATGTGACAAAACCAATCTCGCCACATTGCATTGGAGGAGCCTGGTTGCCCGCCTGCTGCCTTTGGATTATGGACCGGCAGCTAAAGGGTTAATTTTACTGTGCAGAAGGATTTATTTCTCCCTTTCTGCACAGCCGTTCGGTAGATTCCATCTACCAAACAAACAGTCTCTTTTCAGCCTCCCCAGAGCCGTGGGAAGCCGGCCGGCGACCTTAATTGGCCACCCAGAAGCTGGAGTGCGCCCTCCATTTACCTCCCTGAAGCCGCGGTTAACCGCGGCTTAACGAGCGTGTGCCGGCAATTGACCACCCAGTAGCTGCGGTTAACCGCAGCTTAATTGATTGTTACTGGGTGGTCGCGGTTACACTTAGCCGCCACACGATGGCGGTGTTCTGGAGCTCCCCGGGCAGCCAGCGCTTGTCTGCCCGGCTTTCATGCACCAAACCCGGACACTTTTACGTGCAGGCACCGCTGAACCTCCAACCCCTGGTTCTAATTCGCACGGATTGAACGAATGCATGTAAATTCGGTATTTTATGTTGGAGGAATGTTTTAACCCAGATAGCTATGCCATGGAGCCTATTCGTGGAATTAAAGACTTTGGCTCCATGGCAATTAAAACTGTATTCGTGTGGTCTGAGTGCCATTCACCTAATAATGTGCACTCAGACCTGAGCTATCTGGGGATATGTTACATGTCTGTGTTTTATGTAGTAAATGTTACTTTGTGCATTTTAAAGTATAATGCTGGTTTTGTGTTCCCACGTGTGTAATGGAGTTTTGCCTTTGACTTGGGAGATAATTGAGTTACTTCCCAATTATCTCCCAGGGCAGAGGGGAGGAAGCCAGGATGCATTGTGGGAATATACTGTGACTGTGTGTCCTTTTTGTATACTTGTCTGTCCCTTGTCACAGTCTCCCATTTGGTCCCCTAGGGGAGTGTCCACCAGGTGGGAGACCTGCATAAAAGCTGGGCAGGTAGCCCTCATTAAACAGACCACTGCTTGACCCTCAACACGGAGCCTTGTCTCGTCTTTGGGGGGATTTACTGTATGCTGCTAAGGACTGATTGCCAGGAGTGTAAGCCGCTTGGGAGCTTTTCCTGTTCGCCTGGTAGCAGCAATTCGTATGGTTCCTGTTCGTGTATTTGGAGTGCTACCTTATTCCCTTGTATGCCGTTCGGGAGTTTGGAGCATTCACTTGTATGCAGTTCGAGAGTTTGGAGCATTCACTTGTATGCAGTTCGAGTGTTTGGACCATTCCCTTGTATGCAGTTCGAGTGTTTGGAGCATTCCCTTGTATGCCGTTCGGGAGTTTGGAGCATTCACTTGTATTCAATTCGTGAGTTTTGGTGATTCTACAGTAGCTGTGCCTGTCTCTGAAAGGGGATTATCGTCTAAGCGGGTTTTTACCCCTTGTGTGCAAAACGGTCCGTTACAATATACTTAAGGGATTAATCCAGTGATGGAATGTGCCAATTATTCTTGATAAAATTTTTACTGTCCTACTGCACATATAATGATGTAAAATAATAGATAGAGCATGTGATAAGAAACAGTTGTCTCTCTTTTAATAAATAATTCATTTCTATTCTTGTCAATAACTTGCATGAGCGCCTCACATATATCTGTAATAGGGTGTCCCCTTTCCAAGAAATTTCACTTAAGTATTTTTACCTCTGCAATAAAATCCTCATTATATGTGCAAATACATTTAAATCTTAAAAATTGGTGCTTAAGGATTGTTTTTCAACAAGGGGCTGTAGTGAGAACTCAAAAAGTGGATGTATCCATTGACGTCCACCGGTTTAAAAAAGGTTATAGTTGCCACCATTCTAACAAAAATCGCAAGATCCAAAAAATAAATATTATTCTTACTGTATTACCAGGAGAGGTGGATGCATATTTCTAAATATACTTAGACTCTAATAGATCTCTAGGACATAATTACAAACAGCACACAGGAGAGTGACTCATGGACTAATAATGAATAAAAGAAGGTTTCTTTCCCCAAGGGTTGGTTACCAATCTTCTTATAGAACACTTTCAAGTGGTGTTACTGTTTCTTCATATGTTCCCATCTGCTGGACAGGTTAGTTCAATATAATTGTATTTTCTCACTAAAAGGAATTGTTTCATATTACTATTCTTCCTCTTGCTGATTGCTTACCTCCTTTGCATTATTGGGAACATGCTCCTGTTACTTATCATCATGGTCTGTTCACATCTGCATACTCCTATGTACTTATTACTGGCCAATTTGTCCTTCGTGGACAACAGCTTTAATTCCAATTTACCAATTTATAAAAAACTAAAGATAATGCTGGTAATTTTCTTTTTACAATTCCATTTAAAAAATTTATATGAAAATGTTGATTTAGTAATATATCAGTTTATTTAACCAGAAGACTAGGTTCCGCATGCTTGTATGTAAGTATACCCTGAGCATATTGACCCTATTTTTACCTTATTTAACAACTCTCATTTTATTGATCTCAAGAAGGTGGAAAGTTGAGTTGGCTTTGCTGGGAAACAAACCGGTACTTACAAGTGGTACTTGAGAATGTGTGACTAAGCATTAAACTTCCAGAATGAGATACATTGACTGTATCATGCTCAAGAGTAAATATTCAGGGAGTTACAACTGGAAATATAACTGGAATACAGTTTCAAATGTAATAAAAATAAGAATGGCAATAAAATTCCAAAGCAGAAAAAAAATATAAAAAAACAGGTATTTATTTTAGTAATAGTTTATGCACTATTTTTTGCTTTGCAGAGTATATATTTTCCACGTTATTCAATGCCAAACTGTTTTATTGAAGAATAATTTAAACACCTCACCTGTGATGTTAATTGAACACATTAAATTTGACTTTCTGACAGTGAAGGGGTTAATCTATATAGAAATTCTATGTATCTTTATAAATCTATCTAGCAAGCAAAAAAAAAAAAAAAAAATTTGGATCAGCATTGCTGAAATCCATTTACTCAATACTTTCCTTTAGTGTGCTCACCCTGAAATATGATCCTCCCTTACTATGCGGTCAGCAATGTATTAAATGTGCTTTGGACTAGACCTTTTCATTTTCCTTAAAAAATAAAAATATAATATAAATCCATAAGGCAGCATTATCAAAGTGGAACTTTTCTTACTCACGACTTGTATCCAGGAACTGCACAAAGGTTTATAATAGACTATTCAATGCACAGAAGAAAAGCATGTGACAAAACACAGATTTTTCGATTCAGAGTTTAGGATGAATGAACAAGTGGTATTTTATAAAGTTAGTATTCCAAGCCTCTAATAGTTCATAATATTCATTTAACAATAAATAGGTTTATGTCTTGTGAACAGTTCCATTTACAACAAAAATATGAATCTACTCAGAAAAAATCTTATTTAGCCATTATTATTATTAAATAGTATAAGTAAAATGAAAAAAAAATGTATTTTATTTTTATTTCAATTTGTTTTTTTTGTTTTTTTCTTTTATTGTTACCCCCCTTTTAATGTGTAATGGTTGTTGTTATTTTTATATTGTGAAAACTTTCCCAATAAAAACCATTTGAAAATAAATTTTATTTTTAACAATGTGTGTTTCTGCTTGAAAAATATGAATGTCAATTTAATTTGGAGTTGTGGTGAGAAAATTTTCAAAAATGTAAATAAAAATTTAATTGAAAGTGGTCATAACAGAAAGATGAATAGATTGATAGATAGATAAATAGCTAGATAGATAGATAAATAGATAGATCGATAGATAGATCGATAGATTCTTATATTTTATTATACTTTATTAAGAATTTTAATTATAACAACTCACTGTTATCGCATTCAATATCTTCTTTTCATTTTAAAAAGTAATTTAATGACATTTATTTGAAACTTATGATGTTCATCTAGTGCCATAGAGGAAGTAATTTTATACATAGTTCATAATTTAGATTTTTCATTTATTTCTTTATCATATCATCTATATTTTAAGGAGATAACATATTTGAAAGCTTATATGGTATTCCTTGTTTTCTTTGATCTTTTTGATTGTTACACACCAGGGGATTCTATACCCCCAATGTGGGCATACCCTTAGCCGAGGGTGTTGCGGTAGATAGACTTGGGTTCTTCTCGCCACACACCCTAAGTTTCTGGGATTTTCTCTACTATAATTCTCTGTTGGGTTAGGCCCTTTCCTCTTGCCCATTTAGTCCTCTTTTGGCTCTAGGACTGGATTGTCTCCAGCTCTATAGCCACTATTTTCTCTTTAATTAACTTCTGTGTGGTTTTAATACCAGGACTATCTAGACTCTATCATTTATATATTACCTATACATCCATTGTAAGCAACACATACCAATTATGGCAGGGTTCTTATCCAATAAACCAGACAGTAATCTATGGTGTATTGACTCGGACAATGTGTTCTCAGTGGAGCAATTAGATTGCTCTAACTCTATCCCTGACATCAATCAAGCATTTAATAACTTGCAAAATCTGTACCAAAAACAAATTAAATCTAGCTGGGAGGTGTCATCTCTTGAAAACTATATCAAAAAGGAGATGATTCCACGGGGCCTTAGGGTTCGTAATCTACCATCTTCATATACAGACAATACTGATTTAATGCAAGAATGGGAATCTGCAGCCGGAGCATGTTCCAAGCGGTTCATGGAGATCTTAATAAAATTTGAAAAAGCAAAAATCTCTGAAGTTAACCTTATATCTTGAACAGGAGATTGCTAGTGCACAACAATATCAGTCTAACCCAGAATTCACCCACTTTGAAACTAGATTGAAAACTAATTTAGATAAATTTCAAAATAACATTAAGATACGCAAACATCAAAAGTTTGTGAGAGACTCAAGAGACTACCAAACAAACAGAGTCTATCAACATTTCAACCGTAGAGTTAGGACAAATTCTAACAACTACTTAACATCAGATTATGAGTCTTCCGACACTGACAATGACAACTCTAATGGATCACAAATTGACCAACAACTACAAACTTCAACAACTCCTACATATACTAATCCGAAAGGAATACTTAAAAAAGGGGTGAATTTTTTAGAGATGGGCCACATGGACGGTATGCAAACCCGAAAAAACAGATACCCCACACGAGACAGGGAAGGAAACAGAGGCAGGAGACCCGGAAGGAGAAGATTTTGACTCAAGAAAACTGCCGAGTAATGGACCAAAGAGTCATTAATCTTTCAAAACAGATCTTGAACAATGACCATCTCTCACTTTTAGAGAAAGGGCTCTCCTTCGTACCAGTACCCCTCTTAAATAAATTCATGTGGGTAAAAGATCTCCATCTCTTTGCCCGGAAACTCGCTCTACATAAATTTCATGAGATCAATAAAGAAAAGAAAGCTAAATCCCATGGCATGTCCAATAGAGAATATGAATGCCTTATGACCCTTATGGACCTATGGGAAGAAAGCAATGAAACCGACCCTTCAAAATACACTGATTTAAAATTAAAAAGTAAATTTACTCCATACCTGGGAAATTACCGTAATATTGATCTTTTCTTAGAAACAATGAAAAATGAAATTGATAAAATAGACAGTAGATCCCTTGATTTTCACCCCAATATGAACTTGTCAAGTAGGGAACAAGTGGCACTTAAGTCTCTGAGAAATAACACAGAAATTATCTTGAAACCTGCGGACAAAGGCGGGAACATAGTCATGATGGATATCACAGACTATGTTACAATGGTTCTCAAAGTGTTGGAAGATGAGAATACATACAAAATTCTAAAATCTGACCCTACGAATGACTTCCTTATAAAGTATAGGGAGATTCTGGACAGGGGCCGCAGTAGAGGGCTGCTATCAGGGGATGAATACGCATTCATCCTCAATTGCCATCCGAGGATAGCGACCTTCTACTCCTTACCCAAAGTACATAAAAGTATGACCTTACCCCCTGGCCGCCCCATTGTCTCAGGCATAGATAATTTGACACAGAATGGTAGTATATATATTGACAAAATCCTACGACCATTCGTTGAAAAACTTCCCTCTTACCTTCAGGATACAAAACAGACCCTGGCCCTCTTAGCGAATCTGGAGGTACCTCCCTCGGCCAAATTATGTAGCTTGGATATCGAAGCCCTCTATTCATCCATTCCCCATTCCAATGGCATTCGCCACATACGCCATTTTCTGGAACAACGAGGCCCGGCATTTACAGCACATACTACCTTCTGTTTGGAGCTTCTTGAATACATCCTTTCACATAATTACTTTTTATTCAAAAATAAATACTATCATCAAATCAGGGGGACTGCGATGGGGACAGCTTGTGCCCCATCGTATGCTAACCTCCATCTGGGCTGGTGGGAGGAACATCTATTCCAACATCCAGAAATCTCTCAATATCTACCTTTGATCTTCCTTTGGCGTCACTACATCGATGACGTGCTCATAGTGTGGCTGGGGAATTCACAAGAGTTTAATGAGTTCGTCTGTATCCTGAACATTAATGATGAAAACCTCAGATTCACAAATGAATTTGGGGGTCAAAATTTGAATTTTTTAGATGTAATGATCTCTATAACATCTGAAAACAAAATACATACCACCCTTTATCGCAAACCCTCGGCAACCAATAACCTTTTGAGATGGGACAGTTTTCATCCAATACCGCTCAAAATGGGCATCCCGACGGGTCAATATCTTAGGGTCCGACGTAATTGTAGCACTATTGATGAATTCAAGACAAAGGCTAAAGAATTAAGAGGCCACTTTAAAGCCAAAGGCTACCCTAATAGGTGCCTCAAACGTGCATACCAGAGAGCACTTGACTCAGATCGCAATGTGTTGTTGAGCGGGGATATCCCCAAACCAGCAGAGACCTCTAAGAATAATATACGCCTAATTGCCACCTACGATGCAGGATGGGAAAATATTAAAAGTTCCCTCAGACGCTACTGGCCACTGCTAACTAATGATCAGCACCTTCAAGAAGTACTGGCTCCCAATGTCTCCATCACGGCCCGGAGAGGTAAAAACTTACGAGACCTTTTAGCCCCAAGTCATTTTAAAACCGAAATTCCATCCCCTACAACATGGCTCCAGACCCGCTTGACCGGTAACTATAGATGCGGGAGGTGCATTTCATGCAAATTTATGAAAAAAGACTCCAAAATAGTCAAAGACAGTATGGAGAAGGAGGCGTTTACTATAACCTCCTTCTTCAACTGTAATACATCAGGGATTGTATATTTACTTACCTGTGAATGCAATAAAAAATATGTGGGCAAAACATTCCGCCCCTTTAAGAAACGCATACAAGAACACATTAGATCTAGCAAATATTCAGCTGAAACCCCTATCTCTAGGCATCTTCGCGAATATCACAACAACGACCCCAAGGGGTTACGCTTCTGCGGTTTAGAACTGGTAAAAAAGAACCCTAGACGTGGTGATTATGACCGATTCCTCAGACAAAGAGAATGTTTCTGGATTTATCGGCTGAAGACTCTGAATCCTAATGGTCTGATTGAGGGGTTTTCTTTCTCCCCTTTCTTATGATGTCCATATACACCATATGTAATTTTCTCCTACTTTACTGTGTGTGTCCCTTCCCATTGGTTAAATAAGAATTTAAATAATATCAACTGTTTTGATATAGTCTTTAATACAAACTCTCAATCCCTATTGGTGTACATTTAATTAATATTCTAGTTTTCTTCCTCTTTACTATTCTAATCATGACAGGCATCTCTGACTGTTTTATATGTATGATATAATCGAAAGCAGATTATGCTTTATGTGTACTGTTCAACTTCATCATATATCTCTCATATAATGCTCCTTTTTGAGGCTTTACCTCCCAAGGATTTGCTCTATGGTATCCGTTTTGACTTATGATTCTATTTTTTTACATTGATCTCACCGTTTTCCTAACCGGCATAACTGCCGGCTAGAGCATCCCTTGGCTCCTCCCCCTCCCGTGATGCGGCCTCATACGTTCCGCCATGACGTCACGGGAGAGGCGGGCACTAGCCCTATTTAAATCCTGACGGCAGGGGGATCTCCTTGCCGCTCTTGAAAAAGGCGCCACACAGCGCCGAAACGCGCGTTGAGCTAGTTGAGTCAGTTTGAAGCTTAGCCTAGCTAGTCACTTTCCTATACGTGAGCTAGTTGAGTCAGTCTGAAGTTCAGCCTAGCTAGTCACTTTACTATACGTTTGATTTAGATCTAGACGGACTCCTCTCTCTAGTGCTAGTTAGAAGTCCAGCCTAATTTTAGTACCTTTCTATGTTACCTACTATGTTGGATTTAGATTTTAGGCGGCTCTCTCTTTCTCAATGATTTAGTCTTGTACAGCTACATTGCATGGGGTGGGGTTTTTGTGGGTGATGTGCCTGCTGGTTGGGAGCTGTTCTCCCTTCCTTTCTTTTTTGTTTTTTATTATTTAGAAGGCAGGGGCAGTTTTCTGAGACTTAGAGTAGTGCTATACTGCAACTCCTCTTTCTGAAATAATAACCCTATGGTATACAAAATTATACTAAGATTTGAAAATATTTTGCTACATTTTAGCAACATACTTCTAATGTTGCTACTCTGTCTGCTTTTGCAAGCACTTCATTACTTTTGAACTGTGGGGCTGACTACTATCTAGATGAGTTGAGCTATCTGGGTATCTTTTTCTATATATATTAGAGGAATTTCTCTCTGTACTTATATATACTATATCATTGATCCCAGATTTATCTCACTAGTGTAACCAGCACCTTCTACCCGTCTCATCTACTATCTATTTAACGGGTTTTTTCAGCTTGCCACAAACTCCAGGGAACCACACTTGATTTATCTTATTGGGTGGTATTCCCATAATAGCAGTTTGATTATATCCCGTGCAGACACTCTGACTAAGGACTTTCCTGAAACATGTTACACCAAGACACTCCACTAGGATATGCAATTTGGAGCACATAAACTCCTAGGTATCCTTTGTCTCATATTCAGTGCCATATAACAACCCCTTACTGCATCTGCCTTGCTGCCTCCTATTGTGCTATTATAGCCTCACACACCACGGGCCATCCCCCTACCCTGGACCCCCTGTGATTTTTTATAGTCTCTATACGTTTTTCAATAAAGTATTTTTTATTTTATCTTACTACTTCTTTGATCTTTTTGATTGTTACACACCAGGGGATTCTATACCCCCAATGTGGGCATACCCTTAGCCGAGGGTGTTGCGGTAGATAGACTTGGGTTCTTCTCGCCACACACCCTAAGTTTCTGGGATTTTCTCTACTATAATTCTCTGTTGGGTTAGGCCCTTTCCTCTTGCCCATTTAGTCCTCTTTTGGCTCTAGGACTGGATTGTCTCCAGCTCTATAGCCACTATTTTCTCTTTAATTAACATATTTGAAAGCTTATATGGTATTCCTTGTTTTCTTTTTTTAAATAAAAATGACATATTTTACCCAGGGAATGCAATCTAACTAGAGAAGTGGAATTGTAATTTTTGTCTAATGCAATTGAATTGATTAAAAAAAATTTAAATAAAAAAATTTAAATTCCTTGTTTGCTAGATAAAATATATTGAGATGTCATTAAAATGCAAAGCAAAGTGGAAGGTAACGAAGATATACATGCTATTGGGAGTGAATGGGGTTAAAAAAAAAAGAATAACAACAAACAAAAGCAATCAAGATTATTCATTAACCCCTTAAGGACCGAGGACGGTTCAGGACCGTCATCGGCATTTTTGCCTTGCCGACCGATGACGGTCCTGAACCGTCCTAACGGTCTGGGGGTACTTACCTGATCGCCGTCGTTCCCCCGGCGGCGATCAGTGTTCCTCCGGTTGTGGGGAGACTGCCTGCAGCCCAGACAGTCTCCCCACGGCAGATTAGGACCCCTGTGGCCATGTGATCGCTTAACACAGCGATCACATGGTCACAATAGGTGTCCATGTGTCTGCCTGCAGGGGGACTGTCTGTGCTGGCAGGCAGTCTCCCTGCTTGTGTAAAATCAGAAAAAATAAATAAAGTTAGTGTTAATTAAAAAAAAAAAATTAATTATATATGTGTATATATGATATATAGACATATATTATATCTATATAATATATGTCTATATATCATATATATATAATGTCATACTAAGTGTATTTTTATATTAATATGTACTTATATTAATATAAAAATACACTTATAATTAAATTACACACGTATATATATAATATATATAATAACTATATATATTGTATATATATATTATTATAAAATATAAATAATAAGTAATTTAAATTAAATAAAAATTTTTTAAATAATAAAAAAAATTTAAAAAAATTATATAGCTATATGAAATTTTATTCTAACTGTATTTTAAAATTAATATATATATATTTATATCAAAATACACTTAGAATGAATTTGTATATATATCTATGTATATAAAAATAAATAAAAATAATAAGAAATATACATATGTCCATATACAAAATTACATAAATAATTATATAAATATACACGTAGACTTCAAATATATAAATATGCATATATATTTAAATTCTACGTGCGTATTTATGTAATATTTTTACATAATTCAGTAATTTTATTGATTGCAATTTGAGGGACCTGCCTGCCAACCCAGGCCGAAATTCCAGAGAATTTAATTTGCTAGCACTGTATTTTACCCTGTAACGTTCTACGACACCCTAAAACCTGTACATGGGGGGTACTGTTTTACTCGGGAGACTTCGCTGAACACAAATATTAGTGATTCACAACAGTAAAACATATCACAGCGATGATATTGTCAGTGAAAGTTACTTTTTTTTGCATTTTTCACACACAAACAGCACTTTTACTGATGATATTATTGTTGTGATACGTTTTCCAGTTTTTAAACACTAATATTTGTTTTCAGCGATGTCTCCCGAGTAAAACAGTACCCCCCATGTACAGGTTTTATAGCATTTTTGAAAGTTACAAGGTCAAATATATGGGTCAAATATTTTTACATTGAAAATGGCCAGGTTGGTTACGTTGCCTTTGAGAGCATATGGTAGCCCAGGAATGAGAATTACCCCCATGATGGCATACCATTTGCAAAGAAGACAACCCAAGGTATTGCAAATGGGGTATGTCCAGTCTTTTTAGTAACCACTTGGTCACAAACACTGGCCAAAATTAGCGTTCAATTTAGTTTTTTTACTTTTTTCACACACAAACAAATATGAATGCTTACTTTGGCCAATGTTTTCGACTAAGTGGCTACTAAAAAAGACTGGACATACCCCATATTGAATACCCTGGGTTGTCTGCTTTAAAAAAAATATGTACATGTGGGGTGTTATTCAGAGATTTATGACAGATAATAGTGTTACAATGTCACTATTGATAAATTTTAAAAATGTATGTTTTGAAACCGCAATATCCTACTTGTACCTATAGCCCTATAACATGCAAAAAAAAGCAAAAAAGCACGTAAACATTAGGTATTTTTAAACTCAGGACAAAATTTTGAATCTATTTAGCAGTTTTTTTCATTCGCTTTTGTAGATGAGTAAAAGATTTTTCAAGTAAAAGTCAAAAAACATGTATTTTTTTTCAATTTTTCATCAGATTTTTTTATTTTTTTTAAATTAAAATACATGAGATTATATAAATAATGGTATGTAAAGAAAGCCCCTTTTGTCCTGAAAAAAACAATATATAATTTGTATGGGAACAGTAAATGAGAAAGCGGAAAATTACAGCCAAACACAAACACCACAAAAGTGTAAAAATATTCCTGGTCGCAAATGTACAACATCGCAAAAACAGTCCAGTCCTTAAGGGGTTAAACTCCAGACTGTAAAAACAAAATAAAGTATAAAAATAAGGTTAATAAAACAGTGACTATATTTGAGTAGGATACATTTTTCATGTCAGCTTTGTTTTCTCAAATGTAGCCATTTGGTATTATTTCTTCACAACTTTGAGAGTTTGGTAAAAAATTCTAAACAATCATTTAAAATGTTGCTGGAAACATAATTTGTTGATTTAAATTAATATCTATTTATAATATTAGTATAAGATTTTTAATATATAGTATAATTTGTATTTTTACGATAGAATGGCTCATGGAAATGGAAATGGAACATTCAACGGAGGTTTTATCCTACTAGGGTTCTTTGAATATGGAGATATACAAATCTTACTATTCTTCCTGTTCCTGATTGCTTACCTCCTTTGCATTACTGGGAACATGCTCCTGTTACTTATCATCATGGTCTGTTCACATCTGCATACTCCCATGTACTTATTACTGGCCAATTTGTCCTTTGTGGACATCTGCCTCACC